GAGTGAAGACGGGCTGATGGAATTAACGTCCATTATCTGACCATTTACAGGACAGAGCGCAGGATGAAAGCAGGAGGAGGAGGAGGAGTGATATGATAGAGATCTCACCACACCGAGCTTCGTCTGTGCTCGGCAGAACAAACCACAGAAAACATGTTTGTGTTGCCTGTGTGGGCAGTTTGGGCACAGCGGGGCAGAGGCAGGACGGGAAACAGCAAACACCAGAGCCGAGTGTGACTGGCCGAGACACCTGCCAAACGTGGCAAACACACACACCGAAAACAAAGCCCATTTTTAAAGGTTAAAGCTCCAGTTTATCTGAGTTTCTCCTACTGTTAACAAACTGTGTGAAAATACCAACAACAACTCACAAACAGGAAGAAATAGAACATTTGTCAGGTACTACTTTCAGTGGTGGATTAATACAGATCTCTAGTGAGTATTTGGGGCAGCAGGATGAAGTCTTGTCATGGGAACACAATAATAACAGAATATACTTTGGCTTCGTCTTTGGTCTCTTCTTCTTTCTAATGAAACATTTTTAGAAATTGCCTAAAATTAGTGCTGCAACTAGCAATTATTTTCATCATCAGTTAACCTGCAGATCATTTTTCACAATTAATGGACAACAAATACTCATCACAATTTCCTAGAGCCCAAAGTTACGTCTTCAAATTGCTTCTTTGGTCCAAACAACAGTCCAAAACCTAAAGACCCTTCGTCTATTGTTATAAAAGACAAAGAAAAGCAGAAAATGTTCCATATTTTTGCTTGAAAAATTAATGAAATAATTAATCAATCAAATCGATAATCGACTAATTGTTGCCGTTCTACCTAATTCAACTGAATGTGATCCACTGAGCTTTTATTTTGAAGCTGAAGGCATTTTAAATTTTATCTAAATTCCACTTTAAGGAATCTTTACTAGAAACCACTTTGAAGTTCAGCCAAATGTAACCAACCGTTGTTTGGTGTGTTACACAGTCAGCCGATATTCCTGCTCTTCCTTATCTCCAAACACTCGAGCATGATGCCGCGACGATAAGTTGTTTCATACGAACAAAAAACAATATAAATACTGTAAAGGCAATCACAGCATTTCTATGTTAAATACTTTACTTATAGCCCTCTGGCATAAAATAATATTCATTTGTTTTCATAAATTTTTGCCCTTTAAAGCAGTCGTTCTCAATCATTTAGCATCACAACCTTGCAGAATAATCAGGTCAGTGGTTGCTTTACTGTGGTAAAAGTAAAAGTAAATATGGATAAAACTTCTTTACTCAAGTGAAGGTGAAAAAATACTCTGTTGGTTTCTCTTTCTATCGGTTTTTCTGTTTCGCACTGAGAATATAAAGTACAAAGTGCAGATATTTGTGTAAAAATTTAGGTAAAAGTAAAAAAAAAACTACTTAAGTACGGTAACAAAGTATTTGAACGACACTTCCGTCCTCTACCTGCAGCAGAGCGCATCCATTACAATCAACTGAAGCTGCAAACACACATTGAAATAAAATAATAAAATAACGCTCAGGAGGATACATAAGTAAGTCTGAATCAGTAATAAAGAGAACAACAGTGAAACCACCTCTGTGTGAACTCTCTGTCACATGTCAAGAGCATCCAGATTATATCCGGATTATGTCCAGATTATATTACTTTAAATATACATGCGGATAATCCACCTATAAAAGCAGGTGGAAAAGCAACCAAGATGCACTAAGAACAAACTGAAATCACGCTCCGCTGCCGGTCACATGTTCTCTTTAAGTGCAAACGCATCCATCTCCACAAATAGCAACACAACTACCTCAGAGTCACATGATGTTAACATTGAGAATCCAGCACAGAACTGCAGCTGTAACCTTGTTTGAATAACTGTCGGCTGCTGTACGAGACTGTGGTTCTCTCTAACTTTAAATCGAGGAAATAAATAATACAGGCTGCATGTTTGGGAGCCGCTAATGTAATTTTTGAGTGAGAACACAGGATATTGCTTTGAAGATGGATGATTTGAATTTTTGAACGCAGAAAGTAGCAATCACATTCAAATCTGGAGGCACAAGCGACTGCCGAGGGTAAAGACGTAAAGTCGGTTTAAAGGGATGCAGACAGAGAAAGTGTTTGAGGCCAGTCAGTTTGTTCCTGCAGCTCTTCATCAATCTGTCTGAAGCACTTGAGATCTGACCAATCAACAATCAGTCACACACAACCAAGTGATCGATACGCTCAGCAGCAGAAGGGAAACGCGGCTAAACAGGCCGCTAAAGAGACCGAACACACGAACCGAGCTGAGTCACTGGCTCAAAAAACTAATTAGGAAAAACATATTCTGCTGTTGGGTTCATTATTGCTGTAATTATTGCTTGACTAAACATTTAAAGTTGAGATTTAATTACGTCCAGCTGCATATGGTGTACTAACTGGAGTGTGTTCATGCAAAAATGTTCAAACGCAGGGCTTAAATCAGTAGAATTATGAATGGGGTTTGGTTGGACAGACTAAAGATAAAAAAGATGTCAAGTTAGATAAAAAACATACTGTTGTTTTGTTTATCATTGCTATTTATTATTTTTTGGGGTTAATATTCAATGTTCAAATGTAATTAAATCCAACTGCATACGGTATACTATCTCTCTGTGACTGTTCACACGAGTGTAGTCATAAACGTCTAAATGTGGACTAAAATCAGCAGAATTTTGAATGGGGTTTGGTTGAATGAGAGGGATGATCAACTTACAGCTACAAAGAAAAAGACAAAAGATAACAAAAAAGATCTTTAGGGAAATAAATCATTTACAACAGCAGGGTTGAGCTTTATGTGAACATTTTCCAACCAGCCACCAGCAGTCCAATAACCGGCGATCACCGATTTATCACCTATTTTCGTCATTAAACAGAAAAATACAACCATCCACCTTCTAAATTCATCTTAATTGCCTTCTTACGCAACTACACAAATCCTACACCGGTCCTTTAATGTTGTAAACATTAGATCAAATGTCTTGAGTCACGTGTTGAAAACGTGTAGAATTTTAAATGGGGTTTGGTTGGCTACAACAGAGAGGGATAATCAACTCACATCGACAAAGAAAAAGACAAAAAGATAACAAAAACGTAAAACGTATTCAGCTGTTTGATTCATTGTTGCTATAATTATTTAAATGTAATTACATCCAGCTGCATACGGTGTACTAACTGGAATGCGTCCACACAGGTGTAGTCAAAAACACTCAACTGCGGGCTAAAATCAGTCGAATCTTGAATGGGGTTTGGTTGGAAAAAGGAGTAATCACACTTTTAGAGCGAACTGGGAGACAGTTCTCGGCTTATCGCGGCAATAAAGGTTTAACTTTTTGAATCATGCGGCGAGAAAGCGAGAGAGTAAAGTGTATCTGTGGTGGTGTGTTAATCCTCAGAAGACGAGCTGTAATCTGTTGACCTCTCTGCTGGTACAACACACACACACACACACACACACACACACACACACACACACACACGCTTCCTTGGGAAAATACCTGCAGCTAAAACATGTTTGACCATCAAAGTGGAAGATTGTACAACACCAAACCCCTCACAGTGCAACACACAACATCACCCTGACCTCATTCCAGTGTGTGTGTGTGTGCGTGTGTGTGTGTGTGTGGGGGGAGATACAGCCACTTTACACGCTCTCCATCGCTATCTCACACACACACACACACACACACACACACACACACAGGGTGGCGGTAGCCTGTGGGCGTGCGAGCAGCTGTGAATAATTGTGTTTACAGATGGCATACGTACGACCTGTGGGTTGAGAGAGAGAGAGAGAGAGAGAGAGAGAGAGAGAGAGTCGGTCTTCTCGCCCTCACAAAAGAAGACGAGGAGTGACGTTCAAACTGAACCCTCTCTCTCTCTCTCTCTCTCTCTCTCTCTCTCTGTACACTTTCTATTTTTTGCCAGTTTCAGCTATTTAGCTTAATTGGTGTGAGTGGTAACGAGGCGTTAACAGCCACAGCAGAACAATGAACAGTCACATAAGTTTAAAGGAGAAGATGGTGGTGTGTTTTTTTTAAATGAAAGCAGGTAAATTACATTATTTATAGCAAACAATAAAAAGCCATCGACGACTGTAAATCACGATCTGATGTCTGTAGCGTGTCAGACGGCGTGTGAAATATCTACACAACAAAAACACACGAGAATAAAAAATCATTTATAAATAATAATAAATAAAAGCTACTTAAAGTAAATAAATACGCAGTTTTTTCTAATAATTAATTAAAGGTACAGCTAACTACTAATAACGGCCTACAATCTGTCGACAACAGTTTTCTCATTTTCTACATTAAAACAGGCAACAATGTAAACGTCATGGTAACAACACGCCAGCACAACTAGCCGTCCAGCTTTTCAACTGTTAAGTTACCAAAACGATAACGTCAGCCTCAACGTCAGTATGATAAAAAAACAACGTTGTATTTCCCAGAAGTCCTCGTTATGGGGATCTGGAGCATAAGTTTCACCTTTTAGCAACGTACAGTAACGTTAGCGAATGTTTTTCTACATCAAAAACAGGAACAAGTGCAAGATGCTGAGTCAGGGATGGTAGCAATGTGCTAACCAGACATTCAAACGTGGAGGTGAAGACACTTTGGTAGCCTTTCTGCTAACAGGCTAGCATCCCTCAGTGGATCTATAAGTGGAGCTGATGGAAAGGTTGGACCCGGTATGATTTACATAATTGGGCTGTTAATTCGTTAAAGCCGTGGGAGTTGATTATGTTGCATATTGATTGTGTTGTGCCGCTGTGAGGTCACACGCCTCTTTAACTGAAGGTGCACACAAAGCGCAAGGGATTGTGGGAGTCTGATTAAGGAGAAACAACCTGCTGACGCGCCGCTTTCTGACACACGGCGGCGGCGAGTAATGAGCGTTTAATGGCGTGTGTGCTGATGGATGGAGGAGGTGAAGAGAGGAGTAGAGGGAGGGGAAACTCCACCTGGTCTTACCGTTCTCCGGGTGCTCCATCTCGCCGATGCTGCCGTCGGGCGTGGTCCGCTCGTAGTGGTCCTCCGGGAGCGCCAGCGGCCCGATCCGCGGCCCCGAAGACGACTTGGAGCTGGGCGTCTCCGACTCCTCCAGGCCGCTGTCGTAGTAGCTGTGCTGGGACGCGTCCTGGAGGTCCTGCGCCTGATTGGCGGTGGAGAAGGTAACCCGGCGGTGAGGAAGCTGCCACACACACGGAGAGAGAGAAAGAGTAAAGATTAGTTCCTCAGACATTTAATGAGACCAAAATTTAACATACGAGATGAGATCTGATGCGGATGAAGCAGTTTAAATGATTAAAGACATCAAGTGGAAACCAGACCGTAAAAATAACTTTAACAGAAGTCATTTGGACGCAGCGACCGGAACAATCGCTTCCCAAAACTTTCATTACTTTACTCTCTCAGACTCACTTTAATTTCACTCCTCAAAACCACACAAGGATCATTTCATCGGTTCATCATATCTCTGCTTTTATGTCGTCTTTATCTCATTTTACATCTTCTGATTATCTCATCCTTGGTTTTTTATTTAAAAGAGCCCAAAGCAGATTTTTTTGCTCTGACCGACAACGAATTCAGCCTCAAATCTTTATATATATATATATATATATTCATCTGTAACTTTAAAAGAACAAGTCTCACTACTGTTCACTGTCGGTCGGTTAAAGGCCGTCTTTGTAATTACAACTGTAGAAAATACACATAAAATTAAATATAATTTCTATATAAAAACAGACAGAACGTCAGATAAAAACATAAAACATGTTCAATGTGTGATAAAAGATCTTTAAGTCTATGATGTTAGAAAAAGAATATAAAACAAAGTAACATCAAAGTCAGGGTTTTAAATTATTAAATAATAGAGGAGGCATGGAGTAGTACTAACTTTAGACAGCAGTTGAGCTAACATATTACCAACTTTCATAATTCCGGTAATAAAATATTAAAAAATATTAAAATGGAAAGTATCTTGTACTATAAGTAATTTATTGACCAGGTACTATTTCACTTCAGTACTCTACCCACTCTTACATTATCTTTTCCCCCTCATTTCTTAATCACAAAATACCCAATACACAACAATAACAAAAACATTTAGAATAAACTAACATTACATTGTGTTATTTTACAGTGAAATTCTCCAACACGAGTTCGAACTCTTCCCCCCGCGGACTCACATTGTTTTAATGAAAGCAGACTGAACACTGATCGCTGCTGCGTTCACTGTGCGTCGGTTCTGTGGGCGGAAGGTAAGCTGTCTGACTTTGTGTGTTTGATGGTTTTGTAATTAAAATACAATTAGCCTCCCTATAGCGCTGCGGGGACGCCGGACGCCACTCACACTCACGCACGGTGCAAACACACACCGAGTGCTGCCAAACAAACAGTGTCCTAAATCACACACACACACACACACACACAATGCTCGGTCAAACATTTCAATTACACACACACACACACACCTGACCGGCCCCGGCTCACAAAGACCAGCATCCCTGGCTCTGCAGATACTCTGTCACCATGGCAACTGGGCGCTGTCAGGACCCCGAACCAGTAAAACCAGCAGATCATCACACAGAAACAGACGACTCTCTCTTTCACTGCTTTTATCTCCACGGAGAGATTCACTGCCGGTTCCCGCCACAGCGACGGTCAAACCACACCGGAGCTCTCCTGCAAACTCTTCAGGCTCCTGGTGAACAAACGCTCGCTGACTGTAACCGGACTCGCACGCCGCTTCCCGTCTTTATTCGCAGTAGAAACCCCTGATAAGTGTCCAGAGAGGCCACCGTAAGACCAAGCTAACTGTAGTTTCCGTTAGCACCGGAGGAGTTTTTGGTGCTAAAAGAGGAGCTTTGGACGGCCGGGAGGAGGAGAGGATCCAGAATAGGAACCAGGACTAGAACCAGGACCGGAACCAGGAGCCTCTCTGGACCCCCCTTTTCCACCATTATTTAACCGGTATCTAGCGAAACCAGCCCCGCGTTTCCACCAGTTTTGAGCAGTACAGCATCGCTTCGGTTCCCGAGGAAGTTGTTGTTTTTGGTTCCACCTGGGAACTGAACCAGTCTAGTTCTGGTCGAAACGAGTTTAAAACTAGGTGCTTAAACCGTAACGGAGCTGGTTCCCTGTTTGTGTAAAAAGGCCTTTCTGAATCCAATCCAACCTGCCTGTGTACTTTTAATGCTTTCTCTCTTAAATCAAACTTATTTGTTAGTTTCTTTCATCGTTTTTGGGCTTTTTCCTCGTGGACTCAGATGAGTGAGTGTTTAGTTACGAGCTGGTTGACGTTGAACAAAAGTTTAACACCGGTTTGCTTTGATAAAGGATGTAAAGAATATAGGATTTCTTTGTTTTATTTACTAGAGGATGGACGTGGTTTGCAGTGTACAGACTTTCTCTCCTCGCAGGACTCAACACAAATAACAACCGAACAAACATCGGCTGCGGTCCCTACCTGAGACCCTGCGGCGAGCGGTCTCACCGTTAAAAGCAGGCAGCGCTGCACTTTGTGTTATTAATAACTAGCTTCCTGCTTCCAGCTTCCTCTGCTCTGTTTGCTGTGCGAGCATTAGGAAATAAATCACATCTATATTTACATGAAGGGAGAAATGAAGCGGATCAAATCGTCTCGATCCCTCCACCCGCCTGTCTGTCACCTCCGGCACGCCGAAACACGCTCCGGTTAAAAAACCCACCGTTTCCTTGTACTTGTGTGTGTGTGTGTGTGTGTGTGTTGCTGGAAATAGAAGTGCCATCTCAGCAGGTTGCATCATGGGAAAGTGGAGCAGATCAGAGGGGAGGAATTTAAAGACCAACCAACATCCACCTCGACCTCTACGCCCTACGACACGCCATCCTGTACCCGGCGCAGGACGTCCCAAAGTGGCCACTCGCGCTTCATCGCTGCCCTATTTCCTGTGTAAATGTTCGCGTCCAACCCTGAACTTAAAGGGAGGCAGCAGGCGAAGCTCCTCCGCCGCAGATGGAGGTGATGTTTTAGAGATGAAAACCCAGCAGCCTGCCGGCGTTAGCGGATTCAGAGTTATTGATTTTGACTTTTGATGCGAAGATGAAGCCATAAAGCAAAAAAAGAAGACGAAGGTTCGAGCTTGTTTTGGACGGTTTGTCTCTGTTTCTGTTGGGACTGAAAGTCTGTACGCTAACCTCTGACCAGACGGCGCTCAAAACTGGTTCATAATTTAACGTCATTCGACCCGATTTGGCAGATTTTTATTGACTCGGGTCAGTTTGAGGTTACTGCTAATAAAATAATAATAGATATTATAATATATAATACACATTATAGTTTATAATATAAAGTGAACTGATGAAAAACTTTACACTGTTTGCCTCTATGGTTAATATTTAATAACTAATTGGTTAAAGATCCCCTCCAGGCTTGTATTAAATATATATATTGTTATATATAATAATAATAATAATAATGTACAGTAATACACTCACTCCCTCTGCCTGTGTTGTATCGCAGCCTCTCTGTGGTTTGTTTCCATAGCCGGTCTGCTCCGACTGAAGCTGCTGTTTTTATCATCTACGTCGGTGAATTAAGGATTTATTTCCACCAAACCAGAGTTGGTGATTGTTGGAAACACTAACAGAGACGGTTTTAATGAGTTTGATTCTGTTTCTGTCCAGTTTTTAGTGAGTTTTACGATCATCTGCTAAAATGAGTGTTTTTGTCTATGGAGTCTGGTGGAGAGTGATAGTGATATAATGGTCTATCTCTGTAGGGATCCTTTCCATAATGCTGTTGTGTTTGACCCCAAGGATTACCAAACATGATATTTTCACATCTAACTCCTTGAATTAAGGTTTTATTTTGACCAAAGCAACATTGCTGATTGTTTGAAAGACTAATAAAGACGTTTTTTGTGAGTTTTTATGATAATCTGCTTGGTAAAATCACTGGTTTTGTCAATGGAGTCTGGTCTGACGTTGCACATATCGTTTTGTTCTGAGATTCTGGCGCTAAAATGAAATTAATACACATTAAGAGATGACCCAGCAGAGGTTATTCCTCCTTATCTGCACGCCGTTAATATTCTGTGTTTTAACCCTCCAACCGGACTCGAGCGCGTTCGCCGAACACGCCGTTAATGGTGATGAAGGTCGATAATTAAAAATTCAAGGAAATAGCAGCTCATCACGGCATCCTTCCTCAACAGCAAACTGTTAATTCTGCACTTTGAATGAAGTTTCTGATAATTTCTCCACTGAAGAATATTCGGTCGTCTGCAGGCAAAATGCACATATGCAAGTTTTATGTAAAACAAGGAGGCGTGATGAACCATTTTTCCTTGAATCCATAGTAACTGACCTTCATTACCATCGCTGAGGGAAACGGCAAGGCCATGAATATTCTGCAGAGCCCATCATGCAGAAAAGTCAGAATTAAATGGAGCACAATACTGAGTTTATACAAGATGGCTGCAGAGTGGAAGCCGCCTGTAATCTGTGAATCTGTCGGAGATTAAAAATTAATTCATTTACAAACATTTTGTGGGGATAAATGTCGCCTTCGTCCTCTGAAAACTGCAGATTTCTGTTTTTAACTTCCCGCAAAAATAACATAAAAATCAAAGCTACAGTTCTTTTTACATGTGGAGCTTGTGTGGGAGGAAGAGGAGGAGCAGGGGGAAAGTGGACGCAGCCCTCAGAGGAGGAAGAAGGGAACAACGGGAGGTAAAAAATGAGGATGAAGAAGGAGCTTTTAGAGAGGGAGGAAGATGCCAGAAGGAGGAAGATAAAGAGCTGTAGTGGAGTGGAGAGACAGTGGAGGAAGACAAAAGGGGAGGACGAAGAGCCGAAAGGAAGAGAACAAGAGGATTGTGCTGGAAAAGGAGGAGGAAGAGGAGGGTGACGACGAAGAGCAGAGCCGAGGAGCAGGATACAAGAGGAGGCCAGCTGTGGGTTCACGCAGATAAAGAGAGCCAGGCCTCCTCCTCTTCCTCTTCCTCCTCCTCCTGCTGCTCCTCGTCCTTCTGCAGGAGGTGATAGAGGAAGAGGAGGAGGAAGAGGAGGAGGAGGAGGTGAGTTCACTGGGCCACATTGTTCAGAGATGATTAAAAACCAGCGAGAGGAGAAACGCACGACGCCTCGCTGGCTGTTTGTCAGCCGAGACACGGAGAGGGAGATAACTGAGTGTGTGTGAGAGTGTGT